TGCAGGGGTATAATTATGCAGAGGTGCAATACATGAAAATAGTTAACGTACCATTCATTGTTACAGTTTGTCATTTTCTGATATGTTGTGATCAAAAACAGCAATTTACAGAACATCAAGTAATGAAAGTAACAATAGTTAAAGCAATGTCATAGTGTACCTGATTACATTTAAGTTGAAATTAAAGGGACAGAAATCGGTGTGGAACATCACAAGTCTTGATGCTCCTAGGCGTTACTTCTCGTTAGCCAATCAAATGCAGTCCACTCAGAGGAATAAAGAGCTTGGTGAGAGTCAGTACATTCAACAGGATACGATGTGGACACGATGATGCCTTTAAAGTTTGCTTTGTGTCTAACATGCCTGGGACTGGGTAGTGTAGGTAAGTTGTCTCTTCTAAATACAGCTGTATAGAACGCATATATATACTGATATACACAATCTTTTAAAATCAGTGTTTTTTTTCCTCTTCAGCTCAGAAGACTAACCTGAAATCCTCAGTTTATGTGCGTCAAGAAAGTGGTTTTGTGTCGCCTAGCGTTGGTGACAAAGTGACTTTGCAATGTTTCTACGAAGAAGACGCAGTGATGTTTTACTGGTATAAACAATCTCTGGGACAGAATCCAAAGCTTGTGTCTAAATTTTATAAACATGAAAAAAATGGCACGTTTTACAGTGAGTTTGAAAACAATTCTCGTTTCTCACTAGACACTGGAAATGGTAACAATCACTTGATCATTTCAGATCTACAGATTTCAGACTCAGCTACTTATTACTGCATTGGTATCTATGCATACGATTTTGAATTTTCTGAAGGTGTTACTGTCAGTGTAGAGGGTTCAGGGATAAACATCCAAACTTTGCTCCATCAGTCTGAGACGATGGTTCCATCCGAAACCATTCAGCCTGGAGGCTCTGCTCTGAACTGTATTATACACAAACATACCTATGATGGAGGCCACAGAGTTTACTGGTTCCAGGATTCTGCCGAATCTCATCCTGGACTCATTTATGCCAACGGAGTCAGGAGTGATGAGTATGAGAAGAGGCCTACGACACAAACACACACCTGCTTCTACAACTTACCCATGAAAAGTCATAATCTGTCTGATGCTTCGAGCTACTGTGCTGTTGCCTCATGTGGACACATATTGTTTGGAGACTGGGAAGAGCTCCACATTGAGCGTAAGTAGCAATACAAAATACGTTTCATATTTGCATAACTGAGACTGTTTTACACACAAAGCATGTTCAAAAATGTTTGCTTTACTCATCTTAACTTGCAGATGAGCACTCTGTTGTCTTGGTGTATTTCCTGAGTGGAGCGTTGATATTTACCATTGTCCTGCTGCTTATACTGTCATATGCAGCACTGACGATTAATATCAAAATGAAACGCCAAAGTTCAGGTAGGCGCTGGTTACTTTTCACTCATGTTTAGGTAGCATATACAGTCATAAAGACTTAAAAAGCAACTTTGTCTCCAACCTTCATAACCAGACTCTCAAGCAAGATCTGCAAATGCCTCAACTCCAAATACAGAAGTGAGTACTAATCTGCCAGTCTAACTGTATGTAGATAGACAGAAGTAGGGTACACCAGTTTTCTAGTTTGTGATGTTGCAATCTTTGCATTTCTACTATCTTAAGCAACAGAAAATTATGTTTGGACCTATGTTTACTAAAAATAATCTTTAAAAACAAATAAGAGGAAACATTGGTAGATACAGTTATGGCTTCCATCAACATAATGACCAACCATTGGAAGTTATCAAGTTTGACAAAGTGGAAGATATCAGTAATACTGTATATGGACAAAAGTACTGGGCCATCTAAACATTAGAACCAGAAGAGTTGCTCGGCTATAACAAAACATGCCATGAAGCTCCCGGTGCAGTTTTTGTGTTGATGTAAATACCAGAGGAGGTTTGAAACTCTGCAGTTATTAGGTCAGCAGAGAGTTGGCAACTTTGACACATTTCTGTGGTACAAGGAGACGTGAGACACAATATAAATGTATACATATTGCAAATGAAGTCTGGTATGAACTGTGAGATTCCCACCATCAACTGCACCTGCCTGCTACTGAATGCAAAGCAGAGCATTTGATGATGCATTTATTCTTCCAGGTGTGTAGATGTCCTTAGCAATGTGCCATTATGTTGTAGTGGCAATAAAGATTAATAAAGTACTAATTTTAAATTCTTATGTTATTATCAGGGTAACCAAGATTCAGACAACCTCCATTATGCTGCTTTGAGGGACCACAAGGTCAACCGATCCAAGAGACAAAGAGACAACACAAACACCGAATGTGTGTACTCCAGTGTCAAACAGTAAACCTGGAATTTCATTTGTAGCCATGTTGTCCTGTAAGAAGAACTGTGTCTTTAAAGCATTTGTTTTTTGTTTGTTTTTTCGATTTGTTGATTGTTGAAGCATTGTTGTAATATATTGTGTATGGTAAGAAGAGAACTACAAGCCAGAGATAAAGAAAGGTAAAAGAGAAAGATTGCTACATAAAAGCCAGTAGAACTGTGAGGAACATAAGCTAGCAAGCTCATATTACAAATATTACAAACTCAGTAATGCAAAAGGATCATAAACAGAACGTCTCTGCAGTCTCTAAGTGTGGCCTTCAGAGATGAGACTGCACGCACAGAAACAGCAGGCCTGTGCCTTCTCATAGCAGTGTTGTGGTAAGCAGGCACTTAACTTCTAAATATGCAGTTACGCTGAACATGACAGGAAACAATTTATCAGTGATAATCTTCTGATAATTTAAGACATGTCATACATCTTTCACAACTGCATTTGCAGAATGTTGTTCCATTTGGTGTTGTTTGCACACCTGAAACCAGAGAAGTGAGACTCTGTATGTAGCTTCTGTGTGGTCAACAGTCAAATGACTGACTTTCAAAGTGCTTTGAAGAACACCTAGCTCACTTTGTCTTTCTGGTTTCAGACAGGAAGTGTCTGCAGTGTGTTTATGGACTGCAGCCATGCAGTATTAATGATGCTCAAGTTTCTTCAGTAGACTACATCAAAATACTAAAATAAATCAAAATGCAATCAATCACATTGTCTTTGTTTTATTCATTTTATTCAAATAGGATGCACTCTATAACTATATTGCTTCTTACCCACACAAAACCAGTGAAGCCCAAGCTCTTGTGGCCTTTCAGTCAATAAGGTTCACACACATTTTAACTAACACAATTCTATGACAGACATGAAAAATAAAATAAATGTAAATAAAATGTAAATAAAAATAAATGTAATTTGGTGCAATATAAACATTTCCTTATGGCTAAAACATGAACCAAATATCAAAAACCGTTATGTCCATGGCCCCACTGCTTTTTTAATATCCTTTTTTTTGGCTTTTAGCCTTTACTAGAGGACAGTGAATACGGATGCAGGACGTTTTTGACCTCCTTAACCAGAAGAACTGTATTGAGATCCAGTATGATCCCAATTAACATAAATGACTGAGACTTAGTGAGTGAGAGTTCAATAAAAGTGACAGTAGCTGTAGGAGGCAGCTGTGTCAGAGACAACAAGAGTGAACTACCAACCACTACACCTACCAATGTGTCACCGGGGTGGAAAAGTCAGTGATGGGGACGAAAGCAGATCTGTTTGCAGCTGCAGTACTTCCTTCTCTCCTATACTCAAAATTAAATTTTTTATCGTGCAATGTTCAGTCCTTGAGTCTTTTCAAGGAATGTACGCTTGATATTATTTAATTTACATCTAGTCAACATGCAAGCTTCAACTCATGGCTCTCAGTGTGGGATAGCGTCACTTTCATGACATTGCTGTTAATGTTTAAACAGCAAGTTTCAGGTCTGGGCAATTGGATTTTCACAGATTTTCCATTAATTTTCTGGATTTTTCATGTTATTTAAGTTTTTTTTTTTTATCACCAAACGCACCACTTTGATTCAGATTCATATATCTCAACGATTGCAGCAAGTCCATTTATGGCCCCCATTGGGTGGACATTGATGGTTGTATTGTGAGTAAGTCACATGATGCCCTCATGTGGGGGTGGCTGTAGCTCAGGCGGTAGAGCAGGTCATCTACTGATCAGAAGGCTTCCCCTAGTCTGCATGCCAAATATCCTTGAGCAAGATACTAACACCAAATTGCATGCATCAGAGTATGAGTGTGTGTGTGAATGTTACTTAGAAAGCACCTAGGAAAATGTGCTTGTGCGAATATGGGTGTAAAAGCACAAGTTGTGTAAAGCACTTTGAGTGCTCAGAAGAGTAGAAAAGCGCTATACAAGAACCAGTCCATTTACGATTATTGCCCTAATTTTCCCCAGTGGCCACTCATATTATTGCAACCGAAAAGACAATGAAAAGATGTATATAAACTACTAACAGAACAGAAGCCTAGAAAATCGAATTTTGATAATGCAGCATTTCTCTCTAAGCATGCTAGACAATTAGAAATGTGAAGGTGGGACCAGCAAGAGAAACACTGAAACATATCCAAATGTATGAATGACGGGAAGTTAAAAATAAGCAATATGATCTTTTCATAGAGCATTTAAAAAGGATATGGCTCACTGAAGTAAGAAAACTTGCATCACCAGATATGGCATACACACAGTCACTACAATAACTAATGTCTGTGGCGTCTTTCAATCAGATCTTGGTTCATTTCACTGTTCTTAAGACAATAAGTAGCGCTAAATTACTTTTCACACTAACCGGAAACATCCTAACCTTGGCCAAGTTTGCTCTCACTCACATTATTGATTTTTGGGGTTTTAATGGTTAAAATAATGTAATACTATAACTCTGGTATTGTTTTCCATATCTCTTGCTGCGAGAACCAAAATTCATAATGAAGGGGGCGTTAAACTTTTGTACCCTGTTTCAAAAGTAGTTCAGAGTCACTTTTGGTTAGCCAATCAAACGGAGCCTTGTCTCTAAGACTAGAGGACGTATGGAGGTTTTCTACATTGGTCAAGACCTTTTGATCACAATGACATCTCTGAATTTTGCTTTGATTTGCCTGGTCTTCTGGAAAATTGGTAAGTTGGGAATACCTTAAATTCTTAAAAATATAAATTAAATCTCACTTATAGAGTGATTAGGCTTTTATTGTGATTTTAAGTGCAAACATTCATGGTGTTCTCTTTACAGACCGGGTAACTAATATTCAGCTCTCCTCAAATGTTCGTCAAGAGAGCGGCTTTATATCAGCTAATGTTGGGGACAATGTAACTTTGCGATGTTTCTACGAAGGTGATGTTGCAGCTATGTTTTACTGGTACAAACAAACCCTGGGACAAAAGCCAAAGCTCATCTCTAGCTTCTACAAACATGACAAAAATGGCACTTTTAGCGAGGATTTCAAGAACAATCCAAGATTTTCTTTGGACAGTAAAAATGGAAAGAACCACTTGACAATCTGGAATTTACAAATGTCTGACTCAGCAACGTATTACTGCATAAGCTGCTATGCTTACAAGTTTGAATTTGCAGAGGGCACCACAATCCATGTGAAGGGTTCGGATTTGAACCTTCAAACTTCAGTCCATCAGCTGTCTTCTGCAACCGTCCAGCTAGGAGCCTCTTTGACTCTGAACTGTACAGTCCACACTGGGACTTGTGATGAAGAACACAGTGTTTACTGGTTCAAAAGCTCAGAAAAATCCCATCTAGGACTCATTTACACCCATGAGGGCAGGAACAATCGCTGCGAGAGGAAAACTAATACACAAACGAACACGTGTGTCTACAATTTGCCAATAAAAAGCTTGAATTTGTCGGATAATGGGATGTATTACTGTGCTGTTGCTTCTTGTGGACACATACTGTTTGGTAATGGGACCAAGCTGGGCTCGGAGGGTAAGTGGCATTCTAGTAGCCTGTCTCACATTTGCTAAACAGTCTTTAATACTCTCTCATTCAGCTTTTAATGGAAACATATTAACAACACTGATGGTTGATGGATGTTTGGTTCTCTACAGATGAGGTGACCTTTCCTGACTTTCTTGTGCATGTTTTAAGTGGAGTCTTGGCATTCACCACCACTTTGAGTCTTTTAATGGGTTTTCTAGTGTGGAAGATGAATAAAGGTAACCAGTCACTTACACTTGCAGTCAGTCCAAACATGGTTAGATATAGTGCACAAAAAACAGTTGCAAGGGTGTATGAAAGGGCACATGCGGCTTACAGTGTAAAGTGCTTTGATTTGTTAGTAAGACTGGATACACATTATATAAGTACCAAACTATAATATTGTTTTCTTGAACAGCGTGTATTTACAGACAAAGGCTTTTATATTTTTTGTGTTTCACAATAGAGTCACAAGCAAGATGTTCAGATGCAGCTAATGCAGAGGTGACTATATTTTTTGATATATATCAAATTATCTTTTGAACAGCTACCAATACATATATTACACTGTAGCACTTGATTTTTTTTCTGTAACATTTATTGACTCGTGTATTTTTGTACCAGGGATACCAAGATGCAGACAACCTTCACTATGCTGCCGTACATACACAAAAGTCCAACCGGCAAAGGAGGCAGATGAATGACACCATGAATCACTGTGTGTACTCCAGTGTAAGGCAGCAGATCTGAACCTGTTTCATCTAGACTTTGTTTCAGCGTAAGATGTGGTTTTGTTAGCGTGTGTTTTGAGATCTGTTGTGAAGATAATCAGTACAAAGCCTTGGTTACAAAGGTGCTACATTTCCATTATCAGTATACTTGTTGATTCTCAGGGGTAAGAAAAACAGTGAGAAAACATGTTACTTTACGAAGCCAACCTTTCTGAACATGTGCATAACACACTGTGCCACATCACCATAAATATAAGCCAGTTTATGTCACAAGAAATACAATGTACAATGTAATGAGTGCTCTCTACTGGGGAATATCTGTTTATCTTTTCATATTGTGGTTACATATTTAAGAATCTTTTTATAGCTTAGATTAAGGTCTGAAGTTTAAAAAAAGTCATAAAGTTAAATCTCTATATGTCTGGGTGATTCAAAGATAAAACAAACAACAAAAACAAACCATCTGCTCTTTTGTTTTTGTGTCTGTGTAGTTGCAAACAGGAAGCCTCCACTACTTTTCCACCATTGCAGCCGTATACTGGCTAAAACAACAAGGTTAATGCAATTAGCACTTTTGAACTAACTCTGCTGAAAGTTTGCAGTACGGCTATTTTTCCATAGTGTAGTGGTTTACGTGTTCAACGGGTGAAAGATTTCCGGTTCGATTCCAGGAGGAGAGATGAATGGAGTATTTCTCTGAAATTGCAAAAGTTAGAAAAAATTAAAATGGAGCTACCTACTTGTGAATAAATGATCTGCCAAAAGTAGCATGATCTCTATGAAGGGCCTTCTTGCTGTGCTGGTGTATTTTGCACGGTTTTAATGGAATTTTCTGACAAATAAAATATATTACACACCATACAAGATGCTTATTTGGGTTATTTTCTTTCCTGCTGACTGTTTGGAAGATATCTGTGTCTTTGTGTTGCACCTGTACAATTTATGAATACAGCTTGCTAACATTAGCTGGCAATTCAGCACTCCACCCTGATATGACTGAAATAACTGATATACAAGACTTGGTAAGTCTTAAATCTTTGTTTTTCCCCATTAGCTGCCTGTCCTCATAAACACACCAAAATGGTCTTTTTTAAATTCTACATAACTTACAAATCTTATCTTGTATAACAAAGACATAGAACTCAAGACTTCTTGGTTTAAGAAGCAGTGATTGTGTGTTACAGTGATGTTACCCACTGGCTTGTGTGGATTACTTTGGTATTTTGGATGTTGCCATGTTTTTTAAAACATCAAAACACATATTTGGACCAGAGAGTAGAGCTTAGGAGTTACCAGCTTAGTAAGTCTAAGGGGTTGAACAAACTGAATACCCAAAATCTTGAAGTAAACATTAAACAAGAAAAAACTATAAATACCTGTCACTCAATATAGTCACACCTCTTTTTATGCATACACATGTGCATAGATTTATTATGCTTAAGAAAATGTGTTCACAAAAAATTCCACCCCGTCATAGTTTCTTCTGTAAACACAAGGTCAAACTCAAGCAATCATTTCAGTGAGACTTATGTTAGCCAAGTTAAACTGTAGTGGTCTTTGTGGGTTTCAGAAGAATGAAGAGGTGTAAGTACTTTAGTGGGGAGTCAGTCTTAAAGAAAACTGCATTAAACCACAAAGTAAATGGACTTTGTGGGTATATTATCTAATTTACCTCTGAGGTGTTAAAATGCACGCCCTAAAGACCACATGCAAATAACCAATAAACCTTTATAGACCATAAAACAATCCAAAGAGAGAAGGCATTATGTCAAATGTCAGCCAATAGAATTCTTTGCAGTTCTTTGACAAACGTGGAGATGAGACCTTGTATAGACTACAGAGGCCTGTTGGCCACTCTTAGGGCATCTGTCCAAACTTTAGGCCTAAAAAGTAAGCAAATGTCTTCCCCATATAGTTATTATAAAGCAGCAAATTATCTAAGGAGAAAAAAATGCAGTGTTTTGTACCATGAAACTGTTTTTTAAAATGTTGTACATCAGTTAAATTGGGCATTTTAACAGGGAGTCTACAGAAATCGACTACTTTTGAAGACACCCTCAAGTTTTTGGCATTTCCTCATTGCTTTTTATTGTTTGCATGAGATGGGAAAGTCACCTGACTGTTTGAGACATCACTCAAATTTGCCAGAAAGTGCTGGAAATTGATGGCATTTCCCTAACAAAGGATATTGTCATAACTTTTGAAAAGTTCCTAAGGGTTTTCTCCAAAAACAGCATTCATGCTCAGCATTATTATTATTTCATTATTATTATTATTACACAAAGATTGTTTGCTGTTTTCAAAGGACCAGATTCCAGAAGACCTCAATCAACATATAAACATCATCCTGGTTTGACCAATTTTGGCACACCTTGGATACCGTATAAAAGTATGGAACAGCAGAAATTATATAATTTCATTTACATGCCTAAAAATGTTTGTTTTTAAAAAATATATTTTTGAAGAATTAAACACACATTCACAGGCAGCGTGCCCTTTCTGCCATGCGCATGGGAAGGTTAAACAGCCTCTGGTGCTTTAAACTCTGAGGAGCTGTAGCTTCGGCCTCTATTGGACGATTTGTTTGATTTACACCTTTTGATGATGCCAGAAGTTGCAAGACCAGACCCTACGTGACCCCAAATTTATGACACGCGGCATCTGTCCAGTCACGTGTCCTTAACTGGGCCTAAGATGGCGATTATTGATGGAAGTTGCTCTGATGCATTGTGTTACCACCAGAGATGGGCAGTAATGCGTTACTGTAATCTGATTACTTTTTTCAAGTAACGAGTAAAGTAAGGGATTACTATTGCAAAAACGGTAATTAGATTACCGTTACTTTCCCGTAGGAACGCTGCGTTACTGCGAGTGCGCCGTTAGTGACAACAGCTGTGTGCAGATCAACAATGGATCACATATCGAGTGCGGGAGAGAGTATGAGCGTGCAGCGTTTAAAGCGTGGAAGTACTGACCTTACTTTGAGTTTGATTCCATAAAAAGTGACAAAAACATTAGCGTCCGTTGTGTGTGGGAAGAAAACTTCGTTTTACAGCGAAAAAACCCCTAAACTTCCGAGCAAGCACCGAGTAGCTATGACGTAATGGGAAATTCACAGAAAAACTCGCGGATTCTTCCATTGACCGCGGCACACCTGCACCAGGGTAAACCTCCGCCTACCACAGTCCTGCTTTACAGGTGAAAATAGAGCAACAGGACCGCTGAGTCTTTGACTTTATTCATTTTCTGCTGTGTTTTACTTGCATCTATTTGAAAGAGTGAGTGTAAACACAAAAAATATTTTATTTTATGTGCTGGAATGTGTAGAAAATAGGTTTAAATGTTAAACTAATTTATTCAAGTCAGAGAATGTTGCATATAGTTTAATTTTTACTTGATGCATAAAGTTAAAAGATTAAAACTGATAAAACAAGTTAAAAAAAGAGACTTTTCCATTTGATTACATTTTATATGATGGATTATGCAGAAAAAGTAGAATTGGGCTGAAAGATCTATCGCTTTATCACCTCTTCAGGTTGTAAATCGTGTTTTTAAAAAGTAACTAAGTAACTAAGTAATTAATTACTTTTGAAATTAAGTAATCAGTAAAGTAACGGGATTACTTTTTGGGGAAGTAATCAGTAATTAGTTACTGATTACTTTTTTCAAGTAACTTGACCAACACTGGTTACCACAGCCATTATCCAGAACTACAGCGGCTATTGGTTACAGCGGAGGAAACCAGTCCGGTAAGCAAATTTCTGTCTTAGCACATTTGTGGTTTTCTTTTGCCGCTGGTTTAGTGAATTTGTTTTGGAATCGGTGAGAACTAAGATAGCTAACTAGCCATTGTTTACATTGTTACATGAAGTCTGGAGAATTCTTGGCTCAGTTGTGTGTTTAGAAGACTTAACTTGAGAATTTACAATAGGACTTTGCTATCTAATGGATAATGTCACGCTAGCTAAATCAATATTTTACATAAAATCTATGAAAAACTGGAAACTGTGTTTTTTTTAGTTCACTTTTACAGACGGGTTGTTTGATGCCTTTCAATGTGTTGCTGATGTCCGGAAATATACTTTCACAGGATAAGCCATGTATATAATTACTGACTGCAGTTATTCTGTAGAAAAATATGATGTTAATTCTAGTGCCAAAGAACTCTGCTTTCTATTCTAATATGTTGCATAAAGCTCAATTATTTATAAGTGATTTGAAAAAGTGTCAGAAGCCTTAAAGTACGTCAAATAGTTTCACCCAACTGATTCTTCTCATAGAGCTAAGATTGCCTCTGTAGGTGGATGTGATCATCTACCCTCCTGGCCAATCAAAACAGTCTTGTCTCTGAAGAGAGTGAGGATGTAGAGCAGTGCTTTTCACTCAACACGGCAATTTCAACAAGATGACACCTCCGAAGCTTGTCTTCTATCTGACATGCCTCTTCTTGGTGGAATTTAGTAAGTTGCATTTTATTTAAAAAACAAGAACAACTATTTATGTTTTAAATGTATCATTCTGGTTAAAAATAATTCTGCTCTTTACCCCATTTAGCTCAGATGAATCATTTAAAACAACCCAGAAATTTACATCAAGAGAAAGGATTGATATCTGCTAATGTTGGAGACTCGTTGATTTTGCGATGTTTTCATGACAGTGATGCTGCAAAGTATTACTGGTACAAGCAACTACTGGGACAGAAGCTACAGCTTATTTCCAATACCTATAAATTTGACAAAAATGGAACTTTTTATGATGAGTTCAAGGACAATCCACGCTTTACATTGGAAACTGATGTGGGTATAAATCACTTACAAATTTCCAACGTACAAATCACAGATACAGCAACTTACTTCTGTGCAAGTGGTCTTTCATTTGTGTTTGAATTTGGAGAGGGTACCAAAGTCATTGTAAAGAGTCAAGGTTTGAGCATCAAAGCTCTAGTCCAGCAGTCTGCTTCTGAAACCATCCAGCCTGGAGGCTCTGTGACTCTAAACTGTACAGTACACACTGGGACCT